TGGACACTATGTTTATAAGGGTAAAAATATAGATGATATTTGCAAAACCTCTTCTATTGTAAGAGATCTTATTACTTAATACGAGTTGCAGTTCTGAGATGAGTGACCTGTGTTCAATCTTTTTTTTACAAAAATGAATTCTTTGATTTCTGTAAGAAAATATAATGTGTCTAATCATTTAGCCTCAAGAATAGGCAGATATATGAAGAAACTTGTAAGTATTATTTGAATGATGCTAACAAGGACTGTCTTCAGAAGTGAATGCAGCCATTTATGTGAGGTTCTTTACTTGAATGTTTCTAGCAGTGCATATGCTGACCTTGGAGAGTGACCTCTTTTCTGTCTACTACTTTGTAGAATCATGTAAAAGACGTATGGTGTCTTGTCTCTTGGCAGTACAGTTGTTTGATCACTTAAAATTAATTGAAGCTTTGAATAGTCAGGCTCAAGTTCTAGTATATTCATATCATGCTTCCTAATTGCTCTCTAGTGTGCAGGACATGCTAAAAAGTCAGTGCAATTCTTACAACACTTATAAATGCCTTGATAATTTTATTGTATGTCTTTAAAATAGTGTGAATCATAGAGATCACACATTATTATCTCATGTCCTTACAACAACACGGGCATTCACTTTTCTTTGGTACTTGTCCTGTGACAAGCGTGGTGAGCACTGATGAAATTCTTCTAATATTACTCATGGTGTCCCAGATCTTCCAGTTGAGTGAACATGAGGTTCTGAAATGTGGCTATGATTTCTGTGTTGTGGAACCATTAGAATTTTGTAGGAGTCTTGCATGAAAGGCTTTTGGCACAATAACACTGAGTAAAGTCTATTTTGTGATACTTTTGAATGGTTATAGTTCTTACTCAGGATTAGTCTTTCCATGTTTTATTAATAGAGATGACATTGGCTTTACATCTTGGGTTGAATTGAATATAAAAAGCTTTGCACTATGTGTTGGAACAATACTTGAGTTGGATTTCATGTACATATTTATATTTTTTCTAAACTTACAAAATGTCACTCTTCATTTTAAATAGCTTCAAAAAGTAAACACAAGATTCCCTTGTTGAAAATATTAAAATACATGAAAAGGACAATATTCTGCAAAACTGTTGACTAAAATATAAGCACAGAACCACAGAATGTAAATTCAAAGCTGTCCCTCCATGTCTCTAGAGTGTCATTAGTCTAATTCTCACTAGGGTTTTGTAGTATCTAAGTAGATTTTACACTGTCTACTGAAGTTCTTCCACAGCAGACTGTAAATATAAGCATACACTTAAATCTGTGATACATTTTGAATTAGCCTCCCTTTTTAGAACTCTTGAGCTTGTCTTATTTAAAATATGTTGAAGTTTGAACTGTCAGACTTCAAAAACACTGTTTTTTGAAAAACATTTTTGTGCTGTAGTTTTAAATTCCATGATATTTATAATTCTTTCAAAGACTTTTGTTGTAGTCATCCAGTTTATGAGATTAATTTTTACTTGGATTATTGTGGGAAAAAATAACTTTTTAAATAAGATGGTACAAAGAGAATTGATATGTTTATGTTGATTAGATCATTAAAATTTGACCCATTATTATATATGTTAAATTCTATGAATTTATTACTTTGTTTTATCACATATTAGTTGACTCAGTTTTCCAACGTTTCCAGCATTTTGCCCTTTTCTCAGATTAGTGTTTTTTTTTCTTTTTTTTTTTTTTTGGAGCTTTGTTCTGTTGTCCAGGCTAGAGTGCAGTGGCACAATCTTGGCTCACGGCTCACTGTAATCGTCACTTCCTGAATTCAAACAATTCTCCTGCCTCAGCCTCCCGAGTAGCTGGGACTACAGGCATGTGCTACCACACCCAGCTAATTTTTGTATTTTTAGTAGAGACAGGATTTCACCAGGCTGGTCCCAAACTCCTGACCTCAAATGATCTGCCCGCTTTGGCCTCCCAAAGTGCTGGAATTACAGGCATGAGCCACCATGCCTGGCCTCAGATTCATTGAAGACCAAAGATACAGAGAGAATATATATATTTTATTTATTTTTTTTAAATTGCATTTTAGGTTTTGGGGTACATGTGAAGAACATGCAAGATTGTTGCATAGGTACACTCTTGGCAGTGTGGTTTGCTGCCTTCCTCCCCATCACCTATATCTGGCATTTCTCCCCATGTTATCCCTCCCCAACTCCCGCCCCCCACTGTCCCTCCCCTATTTCCCCCCTGCAGACCCCAGTATGTGATACTCCCCTCCCTGTGTCCATGTGTTCTCATCGTTCAACACCTGCCTACGAGTGAGAACATGCAGTGTTTGATTTTCTGTTCTTGTATCAGTTTGCTGAGAATTATGGTTTCCAGGTTCATCCATGTCCCTGCAAAGGACACGAACTCATCGTTTTTGATGGCTGCATAGTATTCCATGGTGTATATGTGCCACATTTTCCCTGTCCAGTCTGTCATTGATGGGCATTTGGTTCCAAGTCTTTGCTATTGTAACCAGTGCGGCAGTGAACATTCGTGTGCATGTGTCCTTATAATAGAACGATTTATAATCCTTTGGATATATACTTAGTAATGGGATTGTGAGTCAAATGGAATTTCTATTTCTAGGTCCTTGAGGAATCGTCACATTGTCTTCCACAATGGTTGAACTAATTTACACTCCCACCAACAGTGTAAAAGTGTTCCTATTTCTCCACATCCTCTCCAGCATCTGTTGTCTCCAGATTTTTTTTTTTTTTTTGTAGAGAGTCATTTATTTAGGGAGAGAAACAGGAGAAGGAGAGAGAAACAGCTAACTCTCACGCTGAGTGAGAGAATCCAGAAAGATGGAATCCAGGAGAGGAAAGCAGCTTCCACACTGAGTGGAAGGGAATATAGAGAGATGGAGTTTAGGAGGGGAAGACAGGCTTCCATGAGAGTGTGGAAGGGGACCCCAGAGGGGAAATCCAGGAGAGAGAAAAACAGCTTCCATGAGAGTGTTTGTGAAAGGGGACTCAAACATGGAGTCCCGTCTCCAGATTTTTTAATGACTGCCATTCTAACTGGCGTGAGATGGTATCTCAATGTAGTTTTGATTTGCATTTCTCTAATGACCAGTGATGATGAGCATTTTTTCATATGTTTGTTGGCCTCATATATGTCTTCTCTTGTAAAGTGTCTGTTCATATCCTTTGCCCACTTTTGAATGGGCTTGTTTGTTTTTTTCTTGTAAATCTGTTTTAGTTCTTTGTAGATTCTGGGTATTAGCCCTTTGTCAGATGGGTAGATTGCAAAAATTTTTCCCATTCTGATGGTTGCTGATTCACTCTAATGACTGTTTCTTTTGCTGTGCAGAAGCTGTGGAGTTTGATTAGGTCCATTTGTCTATTTTGGCTTTTGTTGCCAATGCTTTTGGTGTTTTAGTCATGAAGTCCTTGCCTATGCCTATGTCCTGAATGGTTTTGCCTAGATTTTCTTCTAGGGTTTTTATGGTGTTAGGTCTTATGTTTAAATCTTTAATCCATCTGGAGTTAATTTTAGTTTAAGGTGTCAGGAAGGGGTCCAGTTTCTGCTTTCTGCACATGGCTAGCCAGTTTTCCCAACACCATTTATTAAAGAGGGAATCCTTTCCCCATTGCTTGTTTTTGTCAGGTTTGTCAAAGATCAGATGGTTGTAGATGTGTGGCATTGCCTCCGAGGCCTCTGTTCTGTTCCATTGGTCTATATCTCTATTTTGGTACCAGTACCATGCTGTTTTGATGACTATAGGCTTGTAGTATAGTTTGAAGTCTGGTAGTGTGATGCCTCCAGCTTTGTTCTTTTTGCTTAGAATTGACTTGGCTATGTGGGGAGAGAATATTTTGTTAGCAGTTTCTTAGCTTTTTTTTTCTTAACCTTATATGTTTGTTTTGTTTGTTTTTTTTCCTGGCAACTTCTACTTAGTACTAACTTCAATTTGCATAATATATTTATATATTCAATGTGAATATTTTATATACATACCTATGACAAATCTTAATTTTTATATACAAATATATGGCAATGTTCTTTTTCTTTCTGCAATGGTAGTTTTTTTCTTCAATTCAAGATTAATTCAGTATTTTATTTACCTTTATATTTATAACCATGTATGGTATCTTTGTTTTGAGAAAGCATTGATACTCTATTGTTATTAAACACTTTCATTGGGTGAGACAGAACTGTTGTTAACTGTACATTATGTGTGTGCCAGAGAATATAAAGGAACAAAAGGAGAAATGTCCCATCACAATTTTGAAAGGGTCTATTTTAAATGCTACATGTATCTAGTAGAATATAGGGCTGTAGTTTGGAGCAAGAGTGAAGAAAGAGAATTGTATAATTTAAGTTTCCTATTTCCTATCTCCTAATTCAGTGGGAGGTTGGGTCTTCATTGTGAAGTCTGTCCTGTATGTATGTTAAATGAATTTTGTATGCCTTTTCTCCTATTAAAAATTAATTAATAAAGGGCTTGGACAAATTGAAACACTGGGTCTACTCAGGGAATATTTTTATAGGTGCAGTTCCAATGTTTGAATTAGGATGCAACATTAGAAAATGTAAAGGAGCTGGGCATGGTGGCTGGTGCTTGTAGTCCCAGCAGGAGGCTGAGGCAGGAGTATCTCTTGAGCCCAGGAGTAGAAGCTGAAGGTTGCAGTGAGCAAAAATTACATCACTGCATTCCAGCCTGGGCAATAGAGTGGTGGTAGGGGGAGGGGAGGCTGGGGGTGAAACAAGAATAAAATGATAAAACAAAACAAAAACACAAAAAAGCAAAACAACAAAAAGAGAAACTGTAAAGGCTATGTAAGTTCTTGCCTCAGGCAAAAATTACTGAATAGGCCAGGCGCGGTGGCTCATACCTGTAATCCCAGCCTGGCCAACATGGTGAAACCCATCGCTACAAAAAATACAAAATATTAGCTGGGCATGGTGCCAGGCACTTGTAATCCCAGCTACTTAGGAGGCTGAGGCAGGAGAATTACTTGAATCTGGGAGGCAGAGGTTGCAGTTAGCCAAGATTGCACCACTGCACTCCAGCCTGGGCAACAGAGTTGAGACTCCTTCTTAAAAAAAAAAAAATTACTGAATAAATTTGCATTTACCTTTGGTGTTTCCCAACTTAGATTTGAATTGTTTTGTCTGTCCCCTAAAACCTGCCCTGTGCTCTTGTGTGCCCTGTGACTGTTAGTACCCTTGTCTTTGTCACTCCAGGCCTGCTCTCTTTTTCCTATTCCCATCTGTACTTTAAGCCTTCCCTACCCCCCATGCCCTTGTACCCTTTTCACTTCCTTTAAAAATGGCCAGTGCTTCATTTCAGTTCCTCTGTGTCCATTCTCTAGAAATTAATCTGATCCACTAATCACCATTAAATTGATAATGCTTGAAAATGTCTTGCCTTTTTCTGGTTTGCCATTTTAATTAGAATTTTAACTTAGGTTTTTAGAGAACATTTCAAGATATACCACCTTGATGGTTGGACTTGGGTTTAGGTATTTCAAGCTGGTTCATAAAGGTATTTCTTTTAAAGGAAAAAAAAAAAAAACAGTGAGAGCCCAGCATGCACATCCACCTTCAAGATGTAATAATTTGAGATTTCAACTGTCCCTTAAGGAAAGTTGGTTTTAGAAGAGAAAAGGTAAAACTATTAAATAACTATGATCCATAATAAAATATATTATAGTTTCTTATTCTTAGCCAATTAAACGAAAATATTATTATGTATTAATAGGATATGTAATTTTGGGGGATAGAAAATGTATTTTTTTACTTATTACTTTTAGTTTTTGTAATGATTGCTGATTTGTCCTGTGCTGTATATAATTCTTTGTCGCAGTTTTATTAGCACGTGTTATAGCCAAATGCTTTCTTGTTATATTATGAAGAGGACATTTTTGTTCTGTTCCATGTTATTTTTCTTACCAAAACATGCAACAAAGACTAAAGTCTATTCAAAAAAAGCTTATTTCATTATTTAAAAAGATTCTTTCCCATATTCCATACTTTTGTTAGTGTTACATCCAATTTTTTTTTCCATAAATTTAACCCCTCCCCTGCTTTCAGATGTGGCCTAAAAGCAAACAATAGAAGTACTTTTGACCTACCTTTGTTAGAAACTTTGCATAGCTAAATCAGTGCTTGTAGGAGTGTCAGGGAAAGTAAGAGTAAAGAGGATATAATATGTAAGATAGAGTGCTTTGTCCTAAAATGTTGATGGTCTGTTGGGAAATCAGATAACCACATATGACATAATCAATCAGCAAGCCAGATTAAAGTTCTAAGATACGTGAAAAAGTTAACAGTATCAGTTTTTAGAGAGAAAAGAGAAATTAGAGTAGGCTTGAGATGTCATAGAAGTTTTAGACTACACTTTGGTGGACAGATAAAAGGGAAGAGGACCTTTGAGATGAAAATCTTAAAATATTCCTATCAGAATTCTCAACCCAAAGATGATATATATAACAAACTGAGAAGAAGAGAAAAAATGATTAGCTTCTAGGCTTCCTCATTGGTCAACATGAAGTCTCTCCAAACCCAGTGGACAGACTTGTATTTTCAAGCACCCTGTTCTTAGAGCTTAGGCTGCCATGACTGACAGAATACCCTTCTGGTAAGCTTAAACAACAGAAATCTATTTCTCACAGTTCTGGAGTCTGGGAAATCTAAGATCAGGGTGCCCCCAGATTCTGTTCCTGCTGAGTTTGTCTCTTGGCATGTCTTAGAAGGGCTCTTTTCCTTAAGTTCTTATGTGGCTTTTCCTTGATGAATTCACTTGTGGAGAGAGAGAGAATGAGAGAGGAAAGGACAGAGAGAAAAAAGGGGAAGGGGGAGAGAGAGTTGTCTGCTCTTTTTGTAAGGGTACAAATGCTATTATGAAGGCCCGATCTTCATGACCTCAGGTAAACCTTATTTCTTCCCAAAGGCCCTATCTTCATATACCATCACATTATGGTTTAGGGTTTCAACATATCAATTTTAAGGGGTACAAACATTCAGACTGTAACACAACCCAGAACTCATCTGTGTTATGGCCAGTCCCACCCTTGCCTTAATTCCCTATCTTCCCTGAGTACCCTAGAAGATTAGATATACTGCTCAGATGACTTAGGACTTAGTCCAGACTTAAGTTAGGGCCCTCCTTTTAGTGTCATATATTAGTTCAGATGTCAAGTATTTATAAATTTTTTCAATTTATGTTTAATTCTTTATTCAAAATGAGCTTTTTGAGAGCTCATAATTGGCTTACCTTATGATTCCATAAAAGTGAATATTTGGCTTTAGACAAATGTAGTTTGTTTATTTAACAACCATTTAATTGATGCCTATGATGTTCTTCTTTCTGATTTTTGGCCTAGGGGTTTATTCAATTTTCTGTACCACTTACAAGGGCAGAATTGAGGTGGGTGATATCTTATTATGGCTTTAATTTGCATTTCCTTAATGGCTAATGGTGCCAAAGATCTCTGAATGTGCTTATTTTCCGTCTGTATATCCTTTTTGTGAAATAACTGTTCACGTGTTTTGCCCATTGTGTTAGCCTGTTTTTTTGTTGCTATAAAGGAATATCTGAGGCTGGGTAATTTGTAAAGAAAAGGGGTTTATTCTCTTCCTTGTATGTGAGATAGTTTTCAGTGATTTTCATTTAAATGTGTAAGTTATTTTTCATATTTCTTTCTGATTATACTTTTTAAAAACATCTTTGAATAATGGTGGTTTGTTTTAGTCAATATCTATATAATCTTTGTTTATCTCTTGATGTTGATATGTTAAAATCCAGATTATGTTCTAGACAGGTAGAAATAAACCCCATTTCTCACTGCAGGGGGACACTATATATAAGGATACCGGTAAACCCAGATTTTTAGTGCTAATAATGAATAATAACATGAGATATTTCATATGGTATAAATATAGTTCAAGAAATCCATCTCCTTATACCAAATTGGATTTCTGTAATAAGTGTGCTTTACTGACTAATTTTCTTTCAAAATTAACTCTGTTTAAACCATTCTTGCTTTTTGTCATATTTCAAAATGTGTTAGCTAATATTACTTTAAATAATCAAGGTATCATTTTTATCTTGCAAATTTATGCTGATCAAAAAATCTTCAAATTTGAAATGTTTATAAAAATGACTATGTGACAGAATGGCAAACATACCCTTTAAAACGTTTTAATTCGAAACGCTCACAAGGCATTTAGAAAGGTAGTGCCTACAAGAAAATTCTTAACTTCGATATTATTTACCTATTCATTTTGGAATTCATAAAATTTGTGCAATCTTTTTTTTTTTTTAAATTTGAATATATGTGTCCTTATCAGAAAGGAATAGAAAAATTGAAGGCAGTTTGGAGCTGAATAGAAGTTATTAATGAGCTTAGCTTTGACTGGAATGACAGATTAATGGCTAAATTTTCTTCTATAGCAAGTCTGTTAGAACTTCTACCTTGCTTCAATAAATTCTTTTTGTCATTACAAATTGGAGGCAAAAGGCAAAGTAGGTTTAATTTCAATTTTGAAACTCAGACCTTAAATCTTTAGTGACCTTCACTCAGAACCAGGATTGGTTGTACTTCTTTGGAGCGCTTATAAAAAAAAACTTATGGATCGTATGCATCATGGAACACATCACATTTTCTCCTTTTTATTGACTGCAAAAAGCACTGAACCAAATTCGTGGCCTACTTCTAATTGGTGTACTGTACCATGTAGTATGCCTTTTTTGTACTGACCCTGATTTCATATCATTTTTTTCTTGCCTGTTTTCTGTTTGCAGTGATCTCTTCATCATTTTAGAAATCCTGTTGTGATAATAGTAAAAGTAATAATTATTCATATTTATTTAGTTCTGTTTATAAGCACTCTACATGTTACATTAAGCTTAATGTTTAACATGCCTTTGTGATAGGTACTCTCATTATCCCCATTTTACTGATGAAGTAGAATAGTGCTACTCAAAGCACTAGACTGAGATGAGTTTAGCAGCTGGTACCAGAATTAAATCAACTTACTACTTCCTTCATCAAGAAAGTCATGCTGTGAAAAAATTGTCAGCCGAACTAAACAACGTGCTTAATGACATAGTTGATCTGCATTCTGATGCAAGAAACTTACTTAGGCACAAACTGGCAAAAGCACTTCGTTGTCAGCCTGGACATCAAACTTTGAGTAGCACCATTCCAGAACAGTGTTTCTCAAACTATTATCTGTGGTGAAGGACTTTTGTGCATGCGTTTAAATGTTTAACACTTATGGGCTGAGACTTTCATAAAACAAAAGTGTTATGGTAATGTGAAAAGTTTCTAAGTACTTTATATAATTACTTTGTCTTGAACAAGTAACAGTGACTTTAAGGACTGGCATAGGTAGACCCTGTGTTGGGTAGCACTGGTATAGAGTGAATTAGTGTATCGATTGTGATTGATTCTAGATCCTAGGGAGAATCACAGCATTTTATTTAGTATCAACATATGAGAGTTGCCTAATTTGCATAAATGTAAACCTGTGGTCACATTGGTGGGGAATAGCAGAATAAATCTCTAGATATTAATCCTGTAGCATCAGCACCTTGGGTTTATCTGGTTTGCATATAGCCAGTCACAGCAAGGGAGTGAATAGGCAGTATACCTATAAGTATAGAACCAGTCACAGGAAGGGAGTTCCCCACTACAGTGTTTAAAAATTCTGAGCTTTCATGCACAATGAAAGCATGTTTCTTCCCTTCCCTCACACTCCAGGGTTGTGAACATCCATACCTGCAAGAGACCATTGTAGACATCCATCTAGAGATTCCAGTACTGTGGCTGTTTACCTCATCCCAAAGGAATATGTGTGTGTATATGTGGGATGTGTAATAAGAGGAAAGTTTGGCCTAGATAGATTGAATAACTCTCTATGGGATATTTGTTCTTTTAGGTAAATAGTCCTGTAATAAATATAAATAATCTGGATAGGATATCCTTGTCGGTTTCTATATTATTATGTTAAAGGCAGCAGAAAAAATATGGTGTGACTTGTATATCTTAAATTGTTTGTCTTAAATTCCTGTGCCTTTAATGTGAGAAGATCAAAGCACAGAAAGGTGACAAGAGCTAATGAGGGACTGAGCAAGGGTTTCAGCTTGGTGAAATGGCTCCAGTACCCTAATTATTTTTCTTTGTTTTTAACTTTTAGTTATTTTATTACCAAAAAAAAGTTTTTTGTTTTGTTTTGTTTCAAGTCAGGGTCCCTCTCTCTGTCACCCAGGTTGGAGTGCAGTGGCACAATCTTGGCCCACTGCAACCTCCGCCTCCTGGACTCAAGTGATCTTCCCACCTCAGCCTTCTGAGTAGCTGAGACTACAGGCACATGCCATCATGCCCAGACAATCTTTTGTAGAAACGGGGGTTTCACCGTGTTGCTCAGGCTGGTCTTGAATTCCTGAGCTCAAGCAATCTTCCTGCCTTGGCCTCCCAAATAAAAGTTTTAAAATAAGTATAATTCCTGCTGTAGCTTGAGTATGTCACCAGAATTCATGCTGGAAATGTGATCCCTGGTGTGGCAGTGTTGGGAGGTGGGTCTTAAGGTGGTTAAGAGGGATTAATTCTCATAGGAATAAGTGAGTTCTTGCTATTGTGAAACTGAATTAGTTTCATGAGAGCAAGTTGTTGTAAAGTGAGGCCACCCTTTGTGTTTTGCCCAATTCCTCTCTGGCTTCTGTGCTATTTACAACATGGGACAAGACTTTCACCAGAAGCCAACCAGATGCGACTGCCCAATCTTGAGCTTCCTAGCCTCCAGAGCTCTGAATCAAAATAAACCTTTTTTCTTTGTAAATTACCCAGGCTCAGGTATTCTGGTATAGCAATAGAAAATGGACTATGACAGTTCTCAAATACTTTTCACCTGGCTCCCCTTAATGTTAACATCTTACATTACCATAGAATAATTATTGAAATCACAAAATTGACATTGATACTGTTAACTGTTCTACAGAGCTTATTCAAATTTCACCAGAATTTTAGTTTTTCTATTAATATCCTTTTTCTGGTCCATGATCCAATCCAAGAGCACATACTGCATTTAGCTGTCATTTTATTTTAGTCTCTTTAAATCTGTGGTAATTCCTTAGTCTTTCTCTGTCTTTCATAGCCCTGATACTTTAAGGAATACTAGTCAATTATTTTGTAGAATGTCTGTTAATTTGAGTTCATCTGATGTCTTCTCATGATTACATTGAAGTTTTAAAGTTTCGGCTAGAATATTACAGAAGTGATGTGCCCCTTCTCAGTGAATCATATTGGGACTACATAATTCTAACATGACTCATTACTGGTAACGTTCACCTTGATCACTTGGCTGAGGTGGTGGTTCTCTAGGATCCTCCATTACAACACTACTATTTTCCCCTTTGTAATTAATATTAATAAATATCATGTTGAGAGATACTTTGAGGGTATACAAATATCCCATTTCTCATTATACTTTCTCTCTCAGACTTTACATTCTACTGATTCCATGACCTACATTCTTTTTAAAAAACTTTATTTCAATAGTTTTTGGGGTGCAGGTGGTTTTTGGTCACACGGATACGTTCTGAGATTTTATGCACCCGTCACCTAAACAGTTGATACTGTACCCAGTATGTAGTCTTTTATCCCTCACCTCCCTCTCAGCCTTCCTCCTTGAGTCCCCAAAGTCCATTATATCACTTTTTTTTTTTTTTTTTTTGAGATGGAGTCTCACTCTGTTGCCCAGGCTGGAGTGCAGTGGCGTGCCCTTGGCTCCCTGCAAGCTCTGCCTCTTGGGTTCAAGTGATAATCCTGGCTCGGTCTCCCAGGTAGCTGGGATTACAGGCATGTCCTACCATGCTTGGCTGATTTTTATATTTTTACAAAATACAAAAGAGATGGAGTTTCACCGTGTTGGCCAGGCTGATCTCGAGCTCCTGACCTGAGGTAATCTGTCCGCCTCAGCCTCCTAAAGTGCTAGGATTACAGGCGTGAGCCACCGTGCCTGGCTCATTATACCTCTCTTATGCCTGTCATCCTCATAGCTTAGCTCCCACTTGTAAGTGACAACATATGATATTTAGTTTTCCATTCCTGAGTTACTTCACTTAGAACAATGGCCTCCATCTCCATCCAAGTTGCTGCAAAGGACATTATTTCATTCCCTTTATTTTATTTTATTTATTTATTTATTTTTGAGATAGAGTCTTGCTCTGTCATGCAGGCTGGAGTGCAGTGGCACAATCTTTGCTCACTGCAACCTCCGCCTCCTGGGTCCAAGAGACTCTCCTGCCTCAGCCACCCAAGTAGTTGTGACTACAGGTGTGCGCCACCACGCCCCCAGCTAATTTTTGTGTTTTTAGTAGAGACGGGTCTTCACCATGTTAGCCAAGCTGGTCTTGAACTCCTGACCTCAGGCAATCCGCCTGCCTCAGCCTCCCAAAGTGCTGGGGTTACAGGCGTAAGCCACTGTGCCCAGGCTATTTCATTTCTTTTTATGGTTGATTAGTATTTCATGTCCTACATTGTACTTTTGTAAATTATCTGAAAGTAAAAAGATCATTCAACTGAGGGCTGAGAGATCTGCCTCCTAAAACCATCTGGGGCTCTTGCTCCCTCCAGTTGTTCCCTCCTCCTGGACTGTTCTTCCCTCAGATTTTATCTTTTGGTTGGGTCCCTCACTTCAAGTGTTTATACCAATTTGACCTTATTAATGAGAACTCCTTGACCACCCTGTTCAGTAATACTGCAAACCAGTCTGTCCAACCTGCTTACTCTGCCCTCCCCCATCTTCTAATGTTGCTGTACTTTGTGCTTACCTAGGCTGTCCCTCTTTTAACTCCTTGTAATTTCAGATTTTAGTGAGGTATGAATGATAATGTTCTGAGAACTTTCTCTGTTGTGGGCAGATGAAGGAATGCACAGCGAAATTGTTCTTCCCATTGCGTCTTCCTTATGTTAGCCATGGCACTTGTGGTCACTGCTGCTACCACTTCCCAAGGAATTCAGACTCTAGGCTATTATCTGATGCTTGGCTGTGTCTATGTAATTTTGTACACAAGACAAAAAAGGGGAAAAAAGTTACTAGCTCCTCCCCTTAGCCAACATTTTTTTTTTGAGACGGAGTTTCGCTCTTGTTACCCAGGCTGGAGTGCAATGGCGCGATCTCGGCTCACCGCAACGTCCGCCTCCTGGGTTCAGGCAATTCTCCTGCCTCAGCCTCCTGAGTAGCTGGGATTACAGGCACGCACCACCATGCCCAGCTAATTTTTTGTATTTTTAGTAGAGATGGGGTTTCACCTTGTTGACCAGGATGGTCTCGATCTCTTGACCTCGTGATCCACCCGCCTCGGCCTCCCAAAGTGCTGGGATTACAGCCAACATTTTGACTTTGGACAAATAAGTTCACCTTTCTGTTTCTCACATTCTTTATAAACTGAGGCTAATAAATCATAGGTTTGCTGCAGGGACAAAATAAGAAAACACACACAAAGCACTTAGCATGGCACCTGGCGTGTGATAAGCGTTCAGTGAGTGGCAGCCATTATTAATATTATTTAGCTCTTATGGATGTATTTTAAACATGGCACACAATTGGACTTTAATTTATCTCACTTTGACAGTATACCTCTTCTTCTGACCTACATGTACCTAAATTTAAAGAACAATTTTTTCTACCCTTTCATTATTGCTAGCCTTTCAAGAGTCTCCTACTTTTTTGTACTTTCTCAATTCCTGTATGTTTCTAAACTACAATAAATTAAAGCTCGTATTTCTTCTATATTGGGAGGCCAGCTGGTTAAAGACAGCATAAAAGTATGTATACCTAAATCTGTATGAAATTTTGAAAGACATCATGTGTGGTCACCTTTCAATGGACTTCACTTGCTTAAAATTAAATTTTTATTTGATGTATATTTTCAGTGTTTTTTTTCTTAAGATAAGTGCAAACCAACTTCCTTTCTCAAAGCAAATAAAATAAATGTCAGTATTCCTAGGATTTCCTGAAGAGCTTGGAATGATATAATGTATGCTGCCCCATCTGTATGTATGAAGCCAGTTCAGGAAAACAAAAACAGAAACATAATCTGTTTAATTACATTTGGTGTTAATCTCACCCACAAGCAGTCATGCATTTTCATGGAATTAGAAATCATTCTGATGAGAGCTTTGGTAATTTGCTCTATGTGTTTATTTTCACATATATGCTAGCTGTTGATTGTAATTTCCCAGCCATGGAGAGGGAGAAATGTCCTCATGCTGCTCTTCTGTGTGGCCTACTACAGACAGCCAGATTACCCCAGTGATGGGTCTCTTCCTGTACCCACCTCCACCCACCCAGTACTTTATTCTTCACAGAGAGTTAAGTAAGGGCCAAAGGAGAAGGGAACTGGGAGATAGGAGTGTGACTAGTATAACTTAATAACTGTTGTTGAATGAATTAATTAACCAATGAACAAACTATGTTTCCAGTACACTATGACTGCTAGTAAGGGCAGAGCTAAATTTGCTATTCCATTGCATCAACTAGAATAGTGTCTGATATACCTTATCTCTATTCCTAGTTGTTTTAAAATTTTTATTATCCTGCTTTTGGTTGCTATAATAAGCCCTCTCCCATGGTTGGACTATGAAACTTAAGGAAGATTAGTTTCAAGTTCTTGGTGTACAAGCAAGGAGAGCTCCTCCCAGGACCGTAGGCCAGTTCCAAACACGGCTTCTAATCATAGCCCACAGAGCTTACTCCTTTCTCCCTTCTTGGGTAGGAGCATTGGAAAGGACATCTTCAGTTACTATGGACGTTGACTTACTGTGCCAGTGTAGAACAGGGTGCCGTAAAATCTGGGGCAGACATTTTCCCCAACTTCCAATATAGAAGAGAAAAGATTACTAAGAAAATCCTGGCCAGGAGCAATGGCTCACACCTGTAATCCCAGCACTTTGGAAGGCCGAGGTGGAAAGATCGCTTGAGTCCAGGAGTTCAAGACCAGCCTGGGCAACATGATGAAACCCCGTGTCCACAAAAAAATGTAAAAATAGCTGGGTGTGGCAGTACATGCCTGTAGTTTCAGCTACTTGGGAGGCTGAGGTAGGAGAATCACTTGGGCCTGGGAGTAGAGGTTGCAGTGAGCCAAGATTGCACCACTGCACTCCAGCCTGGGTAACAGAGTGATACCCTGTCTCAAAAAATAAAAATAAAAAAAAAGAAAATCCTTCAGTGTTGAGAGAAATCAGAGAGTGAATGGTTATATAGGGGCCAGCAGGAACAGCATCACTAGAGGAGGTGAAGAATCTGAATTAGTTGTCCAGGGCTAGGACCTATATCCAAGAAGGGCAAATGTGTTTAGGAGTAAGCTAAAACTTAATGTTTATGCCAGGTAATATAGGAAAAATACTTTCTGCCACCCTTGGTGACTGACTGGATAGAGAGGCTGATAGAGAGGTGAGCCTATTGAATGAAGCATTTTTAGTATGACATGCTATAGGTGGCCCAGAGTGTCTCAAGATTGCCCAAGCTTTTTCCTCTTTAAGAACTAGCCAAACTTAGTGCTTCTTTGGTCTGAGAGCAGGTGGCCATTGGTTCACAGTGGCTAGTTTGTACTAGGTAGAAAGGCAAAAGAGCGCATGCTGCACAGATTCATCAAGGGTATCCAATTTCAGAACAAAAGATGCTGAGATGACAAGAAAGGCCAAGGAAGAACTAATGAGATTGTAAATGCGATGAGAGAAGGGACCTTTTCTGTCTTGTTCACTGGTCTATTTCCAGCTCCTAGACTAGGGCCTGACACATGGTAGATAGAGTAAGTAGGTTTGAATGACTGCATTAATAGGAGAAACTTTTGAAAGATAAAATGCAAGGTCAATTATATGCAACAGTTGTTGCTATAGCAATGATATTCATGCCTAGATTCTTCCCCATATCCTTCCTGAATATTTTAAGATAATTAAGCATATATAAAAGGAATATGATGGATATTCATAAATCATAGGATATGGTTGCTGTGACTTATGGGATGGGGCAAATGACAACTTGGCATATTCACAAGGAAGGGAACTGCATAGCCTCTGAGAAGTTGGGTAGTCCTGTGTAGACCACCTACTTATTTGTACCAGGCCAAGTGACAAATAAAGCTGGCCTGATATACTTTCATGTCTTAATCTCCATGTTTCAACTGTAAGGGATGGGAGAAGTGAGCAACTAGGGAAAGACAGAGGTTTTAGGATTAACATCATAAAATATTATCTTCAAAGATTTTACCTAGAAGTAACTGGAGCCTCATTTGTGTTTTAAATTTCCATAAGGGAGGGTTTGATCTACTGCCAGATCAGCTCTTTAGACGCTGGCTTTGGTATTAGAAAGCTTTTCGAGAGAGTGGCTCTGGTCACTGGTAGGGGCTTTTCAGTGAGTCTGGGAGGAGTTAGGTAGAACTTTGGATTTGGGTATAAAGGGACTTGTGACACTGGGTCAAAATGCTTACAGCCTGGCAAAAGTATCTCTTCAGGCTCTGGTAAGGGATATGTAACCTCTGTGGGATATCCTAGAACACATGGGATTAGGGGAGATAAATGATCAATGGAATAGGCAATTCATTCACCTGTCAGTCACATAGATCTTACTCACTTCTAGGGAAAATCTGACATTGGAGGACTTACTGTTAAATGAATCAAAGATATGACCTTGAAAAATGGGAATAACCATGGCACCAATGGAATGAGTCAGTGATTTGGGAGGGAGAACTGGTTTGGGAAGAAGGATTATCATTTTGGTTTCAGAAATTCTGAATTTAAAGCTATAGCACCGGTTGAAATGTGTAGTAGACAGCTGGGAGGAACTGATGGAAGCTTAGGTGAGAAGACAAGTTAGGGGTTGTTAGCTCTGTTCAAAAGAAGGTAAAGAAGAAATTCTTTGTCCAACTCCTCTGAGAAAGCAGGAAGTGAAGATACCAGCTTTAGTCTATGACTACTTGGTTTTTAGGCCCTTTATTTATAGTCTAAGAATGTCAAGACATTGCTGGGATACATGAAATGGGGAGAGCACAAGCAGTGGCTTCTATTTATGAGAAAGAACAAATCTAGAGATTGAGAATCATACAGAAGCAATTTTCTTTGCTTTTTTTAAAAAAAAAAAAAAAAAAAAAACACACTTATTACCAAGGTTCTGTCAGGAAATATATACTAGAAGCCAAACAAAATTGTTTCATTGCTTATGGTGAAATGCACCAGGGGGGCTGATGGGCAAAAAAGAGCGCCTCATGCAAAACACCAAATGTTCCAGTAATCTTGCTCCAAACCATGCCAGTTTACTTAAAATTTCTTTCACAGTTCTTGTTAGAGTCATGCAGTAAATAAATTAAGTACCTTTCCCACTGCGAGTTTTTAAGAAACACTTAATGAAGTAAATGCCACAGTGTTAGACCAGGGGGAAGCCATGCAGTTAAATTATTTTTAGCATGCATTTCTTGTTTAATTTTTGTTGGTTTCTTTTGATCTGGGCTTGAGTCTTAGCCAGATAGTGTGACTCAGGGGACAGAGGACATGGATGAAAGAGAGATTTGTTTTTACTGCCTAGTGAATATGACTAAGGGAAGCTTTCTTTTTTCCCCAAAGGTTAAAACATTTTGTTCGCCTCTCTAAATGTATTTAGGATTGCTTCTCTAAATATCAAAATAGTTGTATTTGGGATAGCTATAAAGAGATACACTATTAAGAATTCATTACTCTTGAATATTTAGAAATGTTCTGTATGTTTAATTTTAATCATATAGCCTTTCAAGAAAAGTATTATTATATTCTATTTTTAAAATACTTAAAAACATAGATTATTTTTAATATAGTTTAATCTTTATAATTAAGGAAGTTTCTTGTGATTTTTTTTTTTGAGACGGAGTCACATTCTGTTGCCTAGGCTAGAGTGCAGTGGCATCATGATCTCGGCTCTCTGCAACCTCCACCTCCTGGGTTCAAGCGATTCTCTTGCCTCAGCCTCCCGAGCTGGGATTACAGGTGTGTGCCATCACACCCAGCTAATTTTTGTACTTTTTGTCGAGACGGGGTTTCACCATGTTGGTCAGTCTGGCCTCGAACTCCTGACCTCAAATAATCTGCCTGTCTCAGCCTCCCAAAGAGCTGGGATTACACATGTGAGCCACCAGACCCGGCTTTCTTATGATTTAGAAGAGCTTGAATCATCATTATGAGAATTAAATGATTATTATGTTATAAATATGCATAACTGCTTATTAATCAAGTTTCTGATTAATAGTTTCTTTAAAAAAAACCCCAGAAACTATAACCACATTCTTTTAATAACTAGAAGCACTTGTTAAAGGGACCAAAAATAATTGTTCTGAAAACTTTTTTTGAATGAAGACAATTCAAAAATGTATCAGAGAAGATGCACGATGTCTGGAAACAATCTGTCTCTAGAAAGAAGTCTTTGATTTTGATTAATATACTTTATGAGCAACTTAAGAATTAATGAAATATAATGTTAGGTAAAATACAGCAATAAGTTTTCATTGCTAAATTGTTCTGCGGACACTTGTAATTTTCAAGGGGTGTGCTGTTGCAAGTATGGTATTTTATTCTACAGGAACAAAAACCAAAGTCAAAAAGATAGTTTTCTTTTGGCACAGAACTCTTTAATACCTGTCACCGTCTCAACAGGGAGTGGTGCTTCTCATTTTAACTTGAAACCTATAGTGAGGACTGTCTACCCTTTTTGCAGTCTCCAAGTAATCAGATAGTATTGAAAGGTGTAATGGGAACAAAGTGGAAAACAACAATATCCTCAAGTTACAGGCCAAATTGGTAACCCTAAGAGAAAGATTTTGACAGCCATAAATATTTCATCTCTCAAGGCCCTGATGCTACTATGTGAGAACAATTTAGTTAGAAAGATCATCAACAATTAGGTGACATCTCTATCACACCTATTACTGAGTTGAAATTTCACTGACATGAATAATAAGGGGTCTTGTTTGACATTTAGCAGTTTAATTAATTTGTTTCCTAAAGTGAATAATGTTTTACACTGTGATTTTTCAATACGCTGTCTCCATACACTTGAATTTTTTTATTTTGCTTTTCTTGGGGAAACTATTTAGTTTTCCTTTTCACTTAACAAATTACCTACCCATCTTGGCTCTGGTGCCAGCCAGTGTTTTGTGGTGCTCATGGGGTGGGGATAGTGTGGGGAAATTGAGGAAGTGCTGCAGATCTTCGTCTACTATTCAGTTTTGGAGGAGAGATAATGTAGGAGTATGGAAAGGGAAAACAAAAACACTTTTTTTCCTCTAGAAAATGTAGTACTTTTTGGCATTATTGTTAAACAAAAATACAAGTGTTGTCCCTCTGGTCATTCTAGTCATGGAGAATCATCAAGGAAGGAGCTGTTATGGGTAGTCATTGACTGCCATGTGGCATAACTATTTGCATTATTCTTTATATATTATTGACTTTATTGCTTTCTCTACACCTTCAAGATATGTTGTATATTAATGTGATTTCTACAATGCTATTTTTGAAACTAAAACACAAAATGTTTGCTAAAGATCATTTCTAAAACTGCTGCTGCAAAAGTAGGAGGAATAATCCAATGTGACAATAGAAAGAATGAATCTACTGTGTATTCTTGCAGATAAAAATAGACTCCTGAAAACTTAGTCAACTCAATTAAATTATTTACTCTGATTACCTCTATACAAACCCCCAAATCCCTACCTTAAGCTGCTTCCCTTTGCAGAGTTTTTAAAAACCAAAGACATGTGGAAAAGCTACTTCTCTCCCACTCGAGCCTGTAGGACATGAAGATGAATGATATTCTGTATTCTCCAGAGTACAAGTATCCTTAACTACCTGATGATGATGTATATTTCTGATGGATGGGGCTTAGCTAGGTAGATATATCCAGATGAAATCATGTTCGTGACACATGTGAGTGGGAAGAATGTCTTAGAACATGTCATGCTGAAGATACAATGCTGAAGTGTTGAAGGTTGAATATTAAAAGGGGAAGCTGGGCTCCAGCATTTGGAGGAAAGGTAGTTCGGTATATACCTCCCATATGATACTTCTGTCCGTGTTGTCTGTTCTTATTTTATAATGGTATCTAAAAATAATCAGTTTCCACTACTTTACTAACTTGTTTTGGGACCAAATATAATGAAAGTGATACAGACCCGATTTTTAACTATTGAACCTGTAGGATAGAGAAACTCTTAATGCTATCACAAAGCACCATGAGATGCTTCAGCATAATAGAGTGCTAGCAAAGTTGAAATTGCTGCTATTGTGTATTTCAGACTTGTTAAAGCTGTTCCAGACTCATGGTGAAATAGATTGCTTCCTTCTACTGGTGGAAATTGAACTTTTTCCCTCTGTACATATGTTTATAAATGAACAGGGACATAAACTTTTTCATTGGAACATATTTTGAGGCAGAGATATGTGTTCGTAGAGAGCGTTATATGTATCACTCTTAAATGTTCTTTTTTTTCCAAAACAGGTTTCCAGGTCACAATTTTGAACCTGTATAATTTTTATTATGATTTTCCCCTGTGAACTGAAAGGCCATCCAATAAGTGAAAACATTTTATGTTTATTTTTATTAAGTACCACTCCCTCTGTGCCTAAGTACAAGGCATAGCAAAAGAAGGAATAAGAATAATTTCGTAAAGATAATTAAACATAAGCCTGAGTGATTTCTTTCTGTCACAAAGACTTCAGAAAGGAAAGAGGTGAATCAGCATGGTATGTTTAAAAACAAAACAAAACAAAAACGCGTGACATAGGACACAGGGGATGTACATTACTAAACAGTTTACTATGTGCCAGGCACTGTGCCTCAAACTCAACATGCATTATTTCATTTGGTCCCAGCAACCCAATCTTCATTTTGTACAGGGTAGCATGATCATAGCTGAGAACACTGGGCTTAAGTGATCCTTCCACCTCAGCCGCCCAAGTAGCTGGGACTACAGGTACAAGCCATCATTCACAGCTAGTTCTAAAATTTTGGTTGAGATGGGCTCTCGCTCTGTTGTCCAGACTAGTCTCGAGCTACTACCCTCAAGGGAGATCCTCTTATCTCAGCCTCCCGATCCACCTGCCTTGGTTTCCCAAGTTGCTGGGGTTATAGGAGTGAGCCACTACATCCAGCCCTCAAAGCATTTTAAATTACTATGCAATACTTCTATTCATCAACACTCTATCTTTAACTGGTTATATCATTATGAGTAAATTACTTAGGCTTTGAGAGAAGTAATTTCTTTCCCTGTTAATTGATGGCCATTGTACCTGCTCCTCTTGTTTCAAATGCAACATGGTACAATGGAAAAAGCAATGGATTTAGAGAACATGAATTCAAAGACTGACTCTATTAGTTATTAGTTGTATTATCCTGAATTATGTACCTAATCTCTCTGATATGGTTTGGCTTTATGTCCCTACCCAAACCTCACCTTGAATTGTAATCCCCATAATCCCCACTTGTCAAGGGCAGTACCAGATGGAGATAATTGGATCATGGGGGCAGTTTCCCCCATGCTGCTCTCATGATAATGAGTGAGTCTCATGAGATCTGATGGCTTTATAAGTATCTGGCATTTTCCTTGCTTGCATTAATTCTCTCTCCTGCCACCCTGTGAAGAGGTGTCTTCTACCATGATTGTAAGTTTCCTGATGTTTCCCCAGCCATGAGGAACTGTGAGTCAATTAAACCTCTTTTCTTTATAAGTTACCCAGTCTTGGGTATTTCTTCATAGCAGTGTGAGAACAGACTAATACACTCTCTAAACTTTGTATCTTTGGCACGTACCATGGGAATAATATCATCACAACCTCTCTCCACAAGGTTGAGACCCAAGTTGAAAGTGATATAATGTAGCTGAATATGTTTTGTAGTGAATGGTATGGATTTACATTTATTAGATGCTCTGCCTATGGTACTTACTGTTTTTAACAGCATTTTATACTTCATCTCTTTTATTTTGAATGAGTTTATATGGTAGGTACTATTATCCCAATTTTATAGTTGAGAACACTGAGGCATGATAAGGTGAGGCAACTTGCCTAGGATTATGTAGTTAATAAGTGGCAGCGCCATTCAGTTTAAATGTAGTAGTCTCCCTCCAGAGCCCATGCGCTCAGTCTTCC